TCTATATTAAATAAGAAAGTAAATTATTGAACCAAAAAAAATAAATATATAAATAATAAAATAAATGACTGGGTTAAGAATTCAAAAGGTGAAAAAGTTTAAACTGAAAATCGATAAACAAAGGAAGTGCCGCGAGCTCTGTTAAGGGTTTGAGAGATAGACTTTTGCGGCGTAAGTTTGTAAAATATTTTGCTCTAGGGTCGAACCGATTCCAAAAGAACGTTGCAGTTTCCTCCTTCAGTTAAGTTGAATCAATTGAAAAAGTTCAGTTTCCTCTCGTTTAGAGCCGCCGCGCAGTTCTCGTATCGCCACAGAATTTTCTTTTCGATGGTAAAAAAAAAGAGTAACGATAGATCGACTTTAAGGCCAAAACTTGGACGCAAGGAGAAACTCGTTTCCTGCTTCCGGTTAGCAGGCGAAATCGAGAAGAGTAAAACGAGCTTGAAAATCACTATTCGGCATCTCTAAAGTGCAAGGATAGTCTTTCCCTCTACTTTTTGCACAACTTCTAATCCAACTCATTTTCTACTTTCTTCAAGTAACTTTAAAAACAAAAATAATTTCTATTTTCTTTTTGGATTTAAATATATTAATTAATATTTTTTTTTTCATATATAATTACGTTATGCGTCATTCATTATATGAAACGTGTTCATATTAACAAAGTTTTCAGCTTTCCTGTTTCAAAAAAAAAAAAAAAATTAGAAACTTGTTTTGTAATCGTCCCCTCCAACGGAAATCCTTTGAGAAGAAGAGACCTGAAAACTTTTTTTGAAAATGTTCTCTCTATTCATAACAATGAGGCTCTCCTCCTCATTCTCTTTCTGACAAGAACGTATTTTGGTGGCTCGACTCGGAACCAACTCAATCTTCCGTATGGTGTCCTGCCCACTGACTTCAGTGAGTCAATGGCCATTGTGCTTTAAACAAAGACCTCACAGTGAATTGTAATGGGATTTAATGAAAGAAGATTTTGCTAGGAGAATAGAGAGAGAGAAATGCAGCCTGACGCCCAACCGCTGCTGATTTCTGAATTATTGAGACGCTGAAAATGGGCAGATACTGGTTAAATGAACCGTGAGCTAGTGTCTTAGATTTGAAGATGACACTTATTATTACCCTCACCCCCTCCCTCTAAAAATGGCAGATAATTCATTAAAAATTTCTTAAGATTTCTTAAAGCCAATTAAATAAATCCTTTCATTCTTCATTAAATGATATTTTTAGCACTTCAATTTTTCTGAAAAACAATTGTAACCGGATAATAAATTGATTGTGTTTTGTAAAGAAATTGGATATAAAAAAAAACATTAAAACTTTATATTGTCAATGCGTCTTTATTATAAATTTGATTGACATACGTATTTGGTTGTATAGCAACAGTTTAACTTTTTGACGAGCACTCAGGGTCTTTTACGATTCCAAGTAGATAACGCATGTTTGGGTCAGACATGCAGCAGTAGTAACTGGATTTATTGTCAGACTCACAGTGGTTAGTCACAAATAAATTTATTTCACGTATAGAGTACGTTTTTATTGAGGTATAAAATCTTTTAGAAAACAGTTTATCTTTTATATTATACGTTTTTCTTATTGTCAATGTCTCTTTGAAATAAAGTAAAATTTAATTAAAATATAACTTGAAAAAAAAATGAGATAGAAAAAAGAGAGAATTTTAATTTAATATTATTTATAAATAAATTTTTTTTTCCAGTCATAAATATAATAAAGCAAAATATTTATTATTTAAAAATTTTATCAAATAATTATTTAATGACATCACTCAGAGATGAAATATTAAAATTAAGAATTCTTCCTAGTGAAAAGGCAAATTATCATATTTTCATTTAATAGACGGTGGAAATATTATTTTAACATTCTCATAATCTTTTCGCTTATAATAAATTAGCTATAATTTTAGTGTAATCTCATAAAACAGAGGAATAACTAGTTTTTTTTATTTGTAAAAACAAAATTAATTTAACAATGCTAAAACTGTTTTAATATTTTTTTTATAAAAGAACTAAAGGGAATACTCATATGTTTTGTTAATTTAATATAAACATCAGTTTCTCTGTTTGTTTAGTCAATATATCCTAGAATTGTACGATAACTTGGACACCATGTAACACCTAGGGACCTCGAGGAGAAAAGCATGTAAAATCTTTTTTACCTTATAGACTGCGGAGAGAAACAGTTAAGGAGAAATTCAAAAATCTCCGAATTGCCGTCCGTAACCTACTTTTATTCGAAGTACTCGCATTTGCTTGAACCTTTCTTGATCAGAGTAGAGGAAAACTACAGAAAACCTCTAGTTTAATAATAATTATTATTTTAGGTTATTTGTGCGCAACAAAAAGCCACGTATTGTACATATCCCCCTTAATGCATTTAATGTTAAGACTATTATATTTCTCCTATAAAATGATTAATGTAAATTCATCAAGAAATAAAATTAATGGGTAACAAAAACCCAACATTGATCCATGGTGAAGGTTGATCCACGTTAAGTTCTCTTACCTTAATGCGGCGGTAGATGATATCATGGAAACATGATTTAGCTAAGAGATGAACCTCGTTGAGCGTTAGAGCGGGTAATACGGTTTTAACGAACTGTTTTCCATAATGCTAGTAAAGCATTATCAGAACGTTGAGTGCAGCACTATCGTCGTGTTAGAATCCCTCTTGCAAGATTCGTAGCCTCGTGTTGTAAATTTCACGAGAAAACTAAAACTAAAATGAATAACACTTTTCTGGCGGCGGGGAAAATGAAAAAAAAAAAAAAAGATAGAGGCTGTGAGAATAAAGGATAATAAGACAAAGGACTTGTGAGCAAGGAAACCTGAAAATCAAGAGAGCTTAAGGAGATTCAACAAAAAGCTCACTATTTAGCTCGCTCTTCTATAGTTGCCTCGCGTCGAAGTGTAAGGGAAAAAATAAAAATAAATCGCAATAAAAGTGGAATTTTAATTAGCGTCACACTTGTTGGCTTATTTTAAAAATGTCTTTACACCTTGTCGACAATCTAAAGGCAAATCTACTATAGTGAATTTAAAAAATTTCATATTCAGTTATAATTTCAGTTCTAGTTCGACCGTGTGCTGATTGTTGACATGGTGTTTCGAAAAAAATTGATATTTAAAAACCTGGCGCAATTTAATCAGGTGAATAATAAATCACGTAATGATTGAAGTTTCAAATTATTTAGTGAAATATAAATTCAATTGTTTTGAAAAGAATTGGTATTTAATAACCTGGCGCAATTAAATCAGGAGAACAATAAACCACATAATGATTAACGTATCAAATTATTTAGTGAAATATAAATTCAATTGTTTTGAAAAAAATTGGTATTTAATAACCTGGCGCAATTTAATAACAATAAACCACATAATGATTGATATTTCAAATAAATAGTAAAACATAAATTCAATTATCACTAAATATGATTTCCTAATCAACAACTTATCCATTTTATTAAATAAATTCATTTGGTTCGAAAAAAAATTGGTATTTAATAACCTGGCGCAATTTAATCAGGTGAACAATAAAAAAAGTTTTATATCAATAATTTTTTAAATCGATTTAACTAAATGTTATTCATCATTTTCGTCTCCCTTTCATTAGTAATAAATATTTTTAAATTACAAATTCCTTTTTATTTATTTTTCTATTTTGTTTATGTTCTTTTTTTTCGAAAAAAAATTGGGTTATTATTTTTGCATGAATTATTAATTAAAATTGATGAAACTTTAGTAACTATAGTGAGAGATCCATGGAAAAATTTTGCAAGTTATATATATATATATATATTTGAGCGTGGACTGCAATTCCACATTCGCAGAGTGTATAATAGTTAATTAAATGAGCGAGTGGCCAACTCCATTAAAACTTGGGTCGTTTCAGTGATTTTATCGAGATTTGATAGCTTCCGAATAACTGAAATATCCACAAAGGGTGGCACCATTGGGGTCATAAAGGTGGTTGTAAATGTACAGCCTTCTGGAAAAATGTACTTTTTAGCAATGTGAATTTCTCACACCATTAAAGGCTTTGAATTTAACTGGTCTGAAAATGGCGAAGCAATTATCGTTTTTATCACTCAATTTATATAACCAATCAGATTTTTTCCTTTTTTTTTTTTTTTTAAAAGTAGGAAAACACTTTTTTAAGTAAAACAAATTTTTTACCATATAATATAGGAAATAATTTTTTTACATAATAATTAATAAATGAATATAATATAGTGTTTAGAAAGTTTTCTTTATAATTATTAGTATATAGACAATATTCTTATGGTAGAAGGCAATGACCATTGATTTGACGTATTCAAACAATGACGTAACAAATGACGTAAGTCAGTTTGATTAAAAGCATCCAATTATTATGCAGACGTAGAACATGACATCTGTATGTAAGAGACACTCTATGTACAATCTGGCGTCTAAACGTCTAGCACATGGAAGGGTCAACTTGACATTATCTTATAGTTCTAGAATATTTTATCATCATTTTTATTAGTTTTCAAAATTTCTTTTTGAATTATAAAACACTACATAAATAATTCATAAGATTGAAGTTTTCAATTTAAATTTATTAAACTGTTTCTCTTGTATTTTTTATTTTTATTTCGTTGAAAACAATTAACTAAATAAATAATTTATTTTCTATTTTATTTCGTAGAAAGCAATTAACTTTAACTCTTTATTTTTAATTTTATTTTCTAGAAAATAATGAACTAAATAAACTTTTAACTAGTTATAAATATTAATTGTCGACTATTAAAATTAAATATTCTACTTCATTATTTTATGAAACTTTCTTCTTAATAGTACTCTAATTTTATATTACTTATTAACATTTGCCAAAGTGCTCGACAATCTTCATAACCAAGCTGATGTTAATTATTAACAATTATTATTTTATATTTTAAAGTAAAATAATTTTAATTTTTATATAAACAATGAAGGACAAGGAATTATAAATAAAACGCTGATCGATCATTTATTAAAGCAAAACTTTATTATAGCAATAGTGAACAATGGATAACTATTAAAGATTTTTAACATGTTTTTTTTTTTTTTTTTTTTTGATAAAAATAGCGATTGGATGTTTAGGTAGTAGAGGAATATCTAAAAAGGGTCTCTTAATGCAAGATATTTTCAAAATGAAAAATACTCGTTGCATCATTATTTTGTCGATAATTAAAAAAGAATATGAATGTCGCATAATAATGACAAAATAAAAAAATGTACATGAATGTGAAATCAGATGGAAATTGTCTTTGAATACTGTTTTCTCTTTTTCTTTTTATTCTATAAAGGGTTAAAAAAAATCCGTATTTAATAAGAATACAAATATTAGAAAAATCAAGGTGAAAAGTAAAAGCAGAAAAAAAGAACAGTAAAATTAAATTGAAAAAGTAAAAGGGTAAAGAAAGTGAGAGTAAAAGAGAAACGAGTATTAAAACCAAAATAGGGGAAAAAAAAGTAAATGAATACTAATAGCAAAAAAGAAATTGCAAAATTAAAATTTTTCTCCAATTGAAAGAACTCCACTTTCATATCTATTTATATATATATATGTAAACTATTAAAATCGTAAAAATGAATTCGTATTTCTATTTGAAAATTCATTACCTATTCGTTTTAGTCATCGCGATATGTGAGCGATTATAATGTTCTTGGTCAATTGGCATTTATCACACCGTTCAATAATTTTTTTTTTCTGTAAGATTTCAGTCAAACGCACGAGCAAATAACGCATGACAAGTGCGCGCTGCATTTCGATGGAAGGTTTTTCTCTTTTGAGCGATGTGAGACATCCTTTGCGATCGAACAAAATTGAATTCCCGTGCACGGAATGTCGAGTGCTTCGGATTTCATGAATCACGATTTTGTGAATCCTCAACGAAACGATGTTGAGGATGAACAAAAAATATGTTCGATCGATAAGGAGGAGTGCCACGGTGTGAATTATCAGTTATATAACGTAAAAATCCCTCGTTCTCTCTTTATTCAATTTTGGTACTTAGATGATCTCCATCTTGGATGATAAATGCTGATGAAGAACAAAAAAAAAAATTTAAATAATAAAGTGGGTGGGGGGGAGTGAAAGGAAGTAAGAAGACAAGTTAAACGAGAATTTAATCAATATTTTAAATTTATATTGCAACCCTATTGGGATGAAGATAAAATAAAATGTGTCTTTGAAAAAAAAAAAGAAAACGATATCAACAAAATCTTTAAAGACAATTGTCGGCTAGTCCTAATGATATATTTAATAAGTCGTTATCAGCTATATTCTTTCATCTTTATCGTAATAAGTCATCTTTATCTCACGGCAGTAAACCATTTTTTTTTATATATTTATATCATGTTGATCATACCGCGCACACTAACCGAGCTAGCCTAATTTGTTTTCGATTGGCGCTACGGAATAAAAATTTAATTTACACCGACGCTCTTTAAAAATTTAACCAATTTTCGTAATTTTAATTAATTTTTCAATAATAAAACATTCGTTTATTATGTTAAAAAAAAAATTATCAGTCGATTTGAAATTTATATATAATTTAGCTAAAATAGTAAATCGATATACCACAATTTGAAAGAAATACCCTGCTTAAAAACGATCGATAGCAATAGTCTGCGGGGGATAATCCAACATTCCGTTGCGCCAACCGCTCAGGAAATAACATACAGTATTTAGTAATCTTATAAATAATAGGTCTAACAACATTAGGGTTCATCTTAGAGATTGCTTTCTTTAATCACATCGACCAATCTGAAAGCTCAACATTCAAAAGAGTGAAGGATATTCAATTTGGAATTGTCTTCCTTTATTTTTTAAATTTACAAATTTTTATTTTGGAATATTCTTTTTTTTATATATATGATGACGATATATAATAACAAAAATTTGCATGCTGAGCTCTCAGCTATATGGATCATAATGTGTCTTAATTATTTTTTTTTATTTTTTAATATAATTAGAGGGCGGACTTGATGATCTGATTTGATCACTTTATTAGCGCAATTAGAATCATAAAAATTTGAAGATTTTAAAAAAAGTGAACAGGGCAGCTGACCAAATCCGTCATCTAGTATTGATTCGTTAAATTTTCACTTTACGCAAAAAACCTTTCATAGATTACGTCAGTTCATAAATATTTATATATGCGTGCACAATTGTAAGATAATTATTACTCTCATTCACTTCTAATCTCATGAGTTGTTAGCACACACCGAGTATTTATTTTTAAAATTCCAATTTTATCTTGACTTTGAAAAAAATTTGATATTTAATAACCTGGCGCAATTTAATCAGGTGAACAATAAACCACGTAATGAACGATGTTTCAAATAAATAGTAAAACAAATTCAATTGTTTTGAAAAAAAATTGATATTTAATAACCTGGCGCAATTTAATCAGGTAAACAATAAACCACGTAATGAACGATGTTTCAAATAAATAGTAAAACAAATTCAATTGTTTTGGAAAAAATTGATATTTAATAACCTGGCGCAATTTAATCAGGTAAACAATAAACCACGTAATGAACGATGTTTCAAATAAATAGTAAAACAAATTCAATTGTTTTAAAAAAAAATTGATATTTAAAAACCTGGCGCAACTTAATCAGATATTCCAGTCGGAATTCAAACGGAAATTATCAGAATCCCCAGAGCGCCCTTATAGAGAATCTTTCCAAGTCCTAAAATATCCGCTATTGTAAGGATTTATATTTATATTTCATTTCTATTTTTAATCACGCGCAATTTTCTAGTTCTCTTTAAAATTTCAGTCATTGAATTTTTTTTTGTTAATGAATCTTTTAATAAGGGTATATCGAGAAAAAAAATTAATTTCATAATTCCTCTATCAAAAAATTGATTAGAGGCAAATTATACACGACGGTGACTGCTGGCCCTATTTGCGCACTAAAGTCCTTAAATAAAAATCGATTCTTACCTTAGGTGATAATACTATTCAATACTTGTTTGAAGCTCGTAATAAGTACATAGTTTACCAATTAATTTTTGTTTTTATAACACATTTATTCTATAGTCATTCATTTTTCGTTTAACATTCATTCAATTTAATTAACAGCTGCACGCACCGTAAACTATCGAAGTATAAAATTAAATCTTATGTTAATTCATATTGGAGAACGTCTTTGTACAGAACTTAACGAATTACATAATTCCTAGAATATAGACATTGTATATGTACCCTCGATCGCCCGAAAAACGCTCTGCGCGGACGAAAATTCTACCGAGCGCCGGAAAAAAAATCAATGTGCCTCCGAATGGCACGCTTTTTTTTAATAATTATTTACAAAATGAAAGAAAAACCAAAAAAAATGGGCAAGAATCAACTATCACTGCTTTTTGTTATTATTGAAATGAAAAACTTTTCACAGAGAAAGGTGTCATGACCTCTCTACTTTCCTTAGCAAAAATTCCCTTAAATTAATTTACATTCATCACTCTTTCATCATAAAAATTGTCAAAATGCAGGTGTTTTGCAAATTTATTGGAATTTAAAATTGAAGAAGAGTGATCAAAGTAAATTAATATTAAGATGATTCCACTAGGATTATTATCTTAATCCAGCAAAGTTGCGGAATAATCGCATTTGGTTCACTTAGTAATTTTGCGAGATACGACCATATTAGTCGAACTCATCAAGAACTAATAAGCGAACATGAATCTACACTAAATATTTAAAGTTAGCTACAAAGTGTACACGTGAATCGTTGATTCGTTATATGTACAAAATTTTGAGACGCCCATAAGAGTCTAATTTTGAAAATGTCAAAAATCGATTCAATTCTGTAGGGCTCAGTATTTATTTTAAATTACTTCGATATTGAAATCCGTGTGTAGCACCTTCGAGTATTTATGGTCAATTCTGAGACAAAACAAAATTTTTTAAATTAATCTCGATTTCGTGAGGGGGACAAAAAAATACGATTAAAGGGAAAAATGGAAGCGCGACTGTAATAAAAAAGAATCCAACACTCAGCCCGCGAGTTTTGATTAGAAATAAAAATTAATTTCAAAGTAGAGAGTGGAAATCGAGGGAGTCAACCGTCGCGCATTTTTAACGAATTCATAATCTCATATGTAACCTCTGTGATTTAGTCCGAGACGTTCGGTGCTCGTCTTAAGTAACCACGATTTCTTGCCGCTTATTAAGAATTACTAACTCTTAAATCTATATATTTTTTTTTAATACGTAATATACGAGACATTCCCGGGGAAATCACGCAATCATGATTGTTTTCTGCCTTGTTTCTCTCCGAGAGAGGGCTCCAGCAGGACATCCTTTAAAATCATTAGTCAACGATTTCTAATCGCTAAATTATATTATTATTCATATCACAGGTCTCAGAAAAAAACATTTACGTCCCGTGTTTTTTTTTTTTTTTTTTTTTTTAGCGATGAGGAAACGTTGATATATTGCTTTTAAAGATCAATGTCTTCTCTGCCTTCTGCCCTTAAGAACACTTACTTTGGCATCCACTGGTGCTCGCGCATCGTTGCCGAAGCGAAGTCTCCCCGTGTAAAATTGTAGACCTCAAAAAAGATATATATTTACAAATTTAAGCGAATACAAAAAGAAAATGAAAACCTATCCGAGAAACAAAGAATATATAGCCTTTAAACGCGAGGAAATGTTCCGAGCACCGTGGCACTTGACTCCAAGTGAACATTCGTTTATTTTTCTTATTGACTAATTTTTTTTTTTTTTTTTTTCATTCAATTTACTTAGCGAATGTCCGGTCGTAAGAGACGATGATAAACGTAGCTGCAAGTACCAAACCACTCGATTCGAATACACTTGGACAATGATTCGCCGGTAGGATGCTTATACGGATTATCGAGTCGTCATCTCGAATCGACGACGGATCTAGCGCTCGACTTCATCACACTAGAGGCGTTCCATATACTTCGTTTGTATGTAGATTTTGGTTGCTGTCGTTTTGCCTTGATGCGCATTGCTGAAACAGAAAAAGAGACACACACCGTTGCATATTCATTTCTATTTCACTTTGAACTTGATAATCAAATCTTTAATCAAAAGTTCTTCGTTTCTTTGTAATTTTTGCAAATATTCATACACAGAATAAAAATAGTATAATGATTTTCAGTAATTTTATTCTCCCCCCAAAAAATGAAAATATTTTTCCTAAAAACTTACCGCTTGTTTCTTTTCCCAACTCTTCATGGCTGACTTGTACTTTTCAAATTCGTGACACCAATCCGAGTAAATCTTTTGATAGTCATTTGATTTAGCAGGTGCCGAACATCTGTGAGCGTCTACTGTAATATTATAGGAGCAAAGAAGAGCACCTCCGAGCCAGCAGTCGTACCTTCCTGCATCCTGATCATTAACACCAACAATTACCAATCCTTTTTCTGATGTTTCGATGAATTTTTCACCACCCGAGCCATATTTGTATGTTATTTGATATCTTCCCTTCTCTTTGCTATAATGATACCATCTAACTTCTTGATTTTCAAGAACCTCGGGCATCTTTACAAAACAACCAAGATGCACCGATTGACCCCATGTCACTACAAGTCTTCGTTTACCAACACTACTGTCGCAAACATCTGCCGTACTATTCGAGACATCCTGTAAAAGTCTAGAAAAAAAACGAAAACATTAATTTCCTCTAAAATTTAATTTAAAAATAAAATAAACTTACCCTGGTGCATAGGGTTTGCAGGTATTTGTATCCTTATCCCAACCGCAATAAGGATCATGAACACAACGTAGACAATTGTCATAGCGACGAGAACACATGACTAAATCGATTTGCTTTATTCGATGATCAGACGCCACGTAGATTGCTTTGTGTTCCTTCGATATTTCCATTGCTTGAATTGGCTCACCGGGAGTAACATCGAAGACATCCAAGAGAATCGATTGTGAGTCACCATTGCTGTCGACCCATTGAACCACTTTATGAACTCGTCCGTCACCTATTAATTTTGTTAAATCATTAGAATAAGAAAATTAACTAGATATTTCCTAGTTGAAGTTAATTTGAAATTAAAACTCACTGGAGCCAGCGTAATAAACCGTATAGTCCAAATCCATTCCAACAAAATCGATACGAAGTTTATCGACCACAAGTCGAGTAAGCATAACGTCCCTCTTGTAGAAAACGGGCTTTTCATTCTCGTGCGATATCGCCGAGTCCATAAGCGGATGTGACCTAATGAAATTTAGAACTGTATCGGGAAGTGTTTCCGTGTCATTGACGCATTGGCCAGGTCTTGGCTCAGGAACTTTGTTTGGCAAAACAGGAAGCCACGCACTGCTACTGGTTGCCTGTTCCTTAAATTTCCCACGGAAGGCATCTTGTATTGCATCAATATGAAATGAACATATCGCTGAACCCATTAAACCATTTGTCGATGTTGTAAAAGTTCCATAAAAATGTGTATCATCACCTGGCACCTTGTATACACTCTCTATTTAAAAAAATTACAATTTTTCATCAAAAATTTCACAAAATAGAAGATTTTAAATTAACTCCGAATGGAAAAATAAATATATACTTACGAATTTCATTGAAGTAGAAAGGAAATTCGCCAGGAATTGAGCAATTCAATCTTGCCTTTAAGTAGGTCGCCCAATTTTGCCCGAGAATATTTTTTCCTCCAGTGTCTTTTTTACATAGTCTAGCTACACGAGAATAGACACTCTTACCACAATTGATGTACTCGACTGCGGTTTCACGGAAGAAAAAGAATACATGTTGTCCAATGTCAAAGGAACCAACAAAATCAGGTTCTGCAATAAGAAATAAATTCGAAAATTTTAATTTTTTTTTTTTCTAAAAAGTAGGTTCATCAGTTAAAGAGGAAATCGTTTTTCATTGTTCTAGAGAACAAGTTTCATTTAGAGAGTTAAAATATAACCCACTATAAATTATTTTCAGTTTACGTTTCCGTAAGCAATGGATAATCATTTGTGTTTGCTAATATACATTAAACTTTATTGAATTCCTTTACGAGCAAACTATTTCCGAGTTGCTAACACCCATTTCACCAAAATTGAACATTATCTTTGGACATTATCCTTTCATTATTACAGAAACATCGTCAACTGTTTTGATAATTATGCACTCATTGGATGAATACTATAAAGCGTTTTAGTAGTTTGTTTGAAAATTTATCTGTTCATTTTGAAATAAAATGATTCTAATGATTCGCTACACAAAAAAAAATGGATACAATCTTTGGTAATTATTGGAATTCTATTTCTCTTTTAATTAATACATTTTTCTTGAAAAACATCATCATCAAATTGATGTCTTGGAAGTGATTTTAATTCTCAAGAGTGATTGTTTTAATTAGTTTATCAATATCTAATTTCATATTACTGTGATTGAATTATTTTCATCTAAATTTACTGAAATTTCACTAAATTGAATAGAATACAATGAATTTTCATTAACCTAATGTTTCCTTTATTCCTTTTGTGGTTCGTTGATTTGTTTGTAAAGAATGTTATAATCGTTTAATAGCAATTAGAAGATTGAATCGATTGACTGATGCTTTCAACCTTCAGGTAGTAATTGAATTTTGTCCCTTCATACCATATAACAGTCATTTGATAAATTGAGACAAATTTAGAACATGGTAGGGGATTTTTTGGAAAATAAAATATTTATAAAATACATATACATGTTCCTCTGTTGGCTGAAAAATTTTTATGATTAAATCATATTCTAGTAAATTGATGATGGAAAATCTCATTTATTATTTTTTCTAAAAAAGAATCCGGCACGCGACACTTTGGAAAACGTCGTTTCGCATGTGCAGAGAACCGTGAAAGTGGATGGTCTTCTCGTCAGCCAGTTATTCAGAGCTTGTTAACTCTGTCTCTCTATTTATCTCTTGTTTTCTTTCCCTTTCCCTCTCTCTCTCTCTTTCTCTCATCCTGAATCACATCAGTCTTCATTGTAGGTACTTTGCTCTGAACGAGGTCGAGTACGTGAACCTATCTTTCTCTCTGTTGGTCTCGCGCATTTAATCAACGCCTTTGCTAATAGACAAACTCGATGCAGAGAATGGCTCTTGATGGTAACGCGAAAGGGCGTTAGGAGGCAAGGGAATACCAGCTTCAAATTAAACGACGAAACAAATGGCTAATCATGCATCCCGTGCTTCAAGTATATATATATATAGTGTGAGTGTGCGCGAGAGAGGTCCTTGGAAAGGGTGCTTTCGCAATACCGAGGACGAATAAGGAATGAGGAACGTAAATTCAAGGAATCGCATATACTGGATTCAATTAATGAGATAACCGCCACTAGCATCACCAGACCCCTCCGCTCAAGAGTCAACTTCTCCTCAGAGTACATTTCTCTCTCTCTCTCTGAGGGTGAAACTTCATTTTTCATTACATTAAGCCGCTGGTGGCGCAGTGAACATTTATTCTCTTTAGAGAGCAATTTCATTTAGAGATTGATACAGCAGTACCAAAAAGTTAATACTAATTGAATTATGACACTTGACTTTTTGGCATATATGTAAATAACACATAAACACAAATTACATTCGGGCTAACAAATTGTTCCTCTATCTAAAGCCACGCGATAACTGTCTCTTTTGTAACTTTAACGGTTGTGACTTGCACCATTTTTTGACGGAATGTACACGTTTTGAGGACATACGCATATCGTTTTTCCCTGAAATTTTATCTTGTGATTGCCGCGAGTCATTCTGGAAGGGTATTCTTTCTACCTCTAAGACTTCAATTATAAAGAGGTTTGTTTCAATGTTCACGAAGATGGTCGAGATTTATAATACTTGAATGGATTGAGTGATTCTGTGTTTTATTAAATGTTTTTTGTTTTTTATGTTTAAGTATGAACTGTAATATTTTTATTATTTTTTTTTCTTGTTCTCTTTCTTTTTTTCTTTTTGTATATTTCCATTTTGAATGGACCGTTGGGTCTTAATAAACGAATAATTAAATAACACATAAAGGCATTATGGAATACGGATACTGAAAATAACAAAAAAATTGATCATAAGTGTCAAAAGAAAATTTTATTGCACTCTACAAGAAACTGATTAACCTGGAAGGGTCGAATCGTATCTTAGTCGAGGGTAGGTAAATTTAACTTCTTCAGAATACGCTTTCAAGGACGACTTCGTTTAGCTAGAGACCAAGGGGTGTTATTTTATTACCAAGCTCCTAGAACTTGTACCCTCTGAAACGTGTAGTACCTAGAACCAACTTTACTCAGCCCTCTTTTAGCTTTCCTCCTGCTCTCTACACTTTCTCTGACGCCCCTACAACTAAAGGAACTGCCGCCAAATGAAATAGGCGTGCTGGAGTGACACCCCAAGCACCCGCTTACGCGTTCATTTAGGACCGTAATTCGAAGGTTGTACTTGAAAGTACAACCCGGTTTTATGAGTTTGTCCCGCATTGCAAAACTTAGGGACAAGAAATTCATGGAATTTTAGTTATCCCTTTTAAATTCATCTTTTTTTTGTCTTACCCTTCCAAACAGTAAGTACAATATTCATTAGTTTGCGAGAAAAATTTTCAATCTCTTTTAATTACAATTTTTATATATGAATTTGAAAGGGGAAAAAAAATTTTGATAAATATCACTTACTGTCCAACCATTTCGAGTCGTACTTGATCGTTCTCTTGAAATTGAAGCCCTTTCTACCTGTCGTCAAATTGTAGAGATCCGTTCGGAAAATAACAGTATCAGCTTTAGTAAATTCCGCATTGGTGCCAGAATAAAGAGCTGGCAAATCTCCTGGATTTCCCCTTTCGACCCAAATTGCTGTCGAGTTGTCCGCAGGGTCGTAAGGACACTTCGCAATGGCTGTTCCCACACCTGGTACAAACTCGTTTCTAGGCAAATGAGTGAGATTGCTCTAAAAAAACAAAATTTCAAATAAAAGATTAGAGATTTCCAATTGTATTCTATTCTTTGAAGAAATTCTAAAGTTTGTCATTTTTTTTTGTCAAAAATGGAACAACTGTCATTTCAAATGAATACTATGAAAGATATCTGATTTTATTAAATCAGAAAAAGAAATTAAAAGGTATTTGACGCCCATACCATTTTATAATTATTACTCTTCAAAGTTTAATAATAAAAATTTACGGAATTAAAACAAGAAATCCGCTTTAAAGCCGAGTGTAAAATATTACATTTAAAGAAATTGATCTTTTTTTTCAAACTTGTTACTAGTTCTTTTTTGAAAGGAACGAGTAAGAGTTAGTCGTTATCCAATTTCTACAGTGCACTTGGGACTCGTAATCTTCAAACATCACTGAGCTCGTATATTCTTCGGTGTCGTTACACGGGTACTTAAACGCACAGTGCGTTCGTTTCGCTAGATAACCCTTGCTTACGAACTCTATCAAATGTGAACGGGTACTAAATTTTGTAAATCAAATTGCTTTTCACACCGGTATCTCTCACGAATAGACATTAGACTTTCAGTTTTAATTGGAAAGTTTTAATTTCCGAAAAAAACAGATTTTTACAACTTAATCTTTTGGAGTATTTTTTTTTAATTCAAAATAATAATAAGTATTGAATAAGAAATAAAAACTTACGTAAATCACCCAATCCTTTGGTGAATGAGCATTTGTACCACAAACATAAAAACGATTTCCATCTCCTATTGGTTGTATCACTCGAATATGATTTCGACAATCAAAGTGCTGTAAGCGAAATAATGCCAATTGATAAAATTGTTTAAATTGAAGCAAAAATTTACCAATTTTTTAGTTTTTATATAAAAAACTCACCTCTGATTTGCCTTTCGAAACGCAATTTGCAACATTGCTTGGTTCCAGGTTAAGAGCATCTCTCTGTAACAAAAATCAAACAAGTGGTCGTTATTTTTTAAAATCTTTCAAAATCCTCTATCAATATATTAAGATTAAATATCTATTTTCATTAAATTAATTTTCTTAAATTTATTTCTGTTATAAAAATGTTAAATGAGAAATTTGACTTTTAAAAAACCGTATTCTAAAAAGTTTACTGCCCCCGTCTCTGTTTTATGCCTTTGCAGCGATTTTTAGGTTTATCTGGACCGAGTGTTAGAAGTGCACTAGATGTTTCGCGAGCGTGAAGACTAAAGGTACTTGTCACGTGTGTGGAAAGACTGGCAACTATTCTTCTTCTTCTTCTTCTTTTTCAAAAAGTCTGCAATCTACCGAAGAAATAAGGTCAACTTATTCAGATACTTGAGACAAACGTATGCCTCGTAGTAGAGTGTGTTGAAAATTGCAGTATTCACCTTCGTACACAAACGAAGTAACACTTCTCTGAATACGCAAGTAGTTGAGTGTCATGTAACTGTGCATGTCAAACGGTCCCAGAAGCGGAAGCATTTCGTTTACACGGCCAATCGTCTAATGCATAAACCTGTCTTAACAATCACCATGAGTTTGCATGCACACGAAAACCACCTAGACTGTAATCAATTTCTTTTCTTTATCCTCACCAATTCAAATAATGTTTGATCAGTAAATTTATGATATCAAGAGATTTTCAAAATTTTCAACTAACTGTAGTTTGTAACGTTATTGGGGTAACGAGACTTCTTTTCGTGTAAAAGTTTTGTGAACAAAAATTTATTAAGAAGTAACTACATATTATGGCAGGGAAAAGTTGAACCAAAATTTCTTGAAAATAATCCAATTTTTAGGATCGTAACTATTTCTTAAGAAAAAAAGGATTATTCAATTCCACTTTTGACGATATATAGTTAGAAATATTGTTATAATGAAATAATTTAGTATGAAAATGTTTGGAATTTGAAGCTTCCTTAAATTGCGAATCTTCTTTAGATTTTAAATAAAATAACAAGTATGAAATGCCAAATAATTTTTTTTCTATGTAGAATTGATTATTTTAGTCTGTAAAAATTTTTTGGAATTTGAAGTTTCCTTAAAATGCGAACTTTCTTTAAATTTTTAATAAAATAACAAGTATGAAATGCCAAATAATTTTTTTTCTATGAGAAACTGATTATTTAATTCTATAATGAGTTTTGGAATTTGAAGCTCCCTTAAATTGCGAACTTTTTTTAGATTTTAAATAAAGTAACAAGTATGAAATGCCAAACAATTTTTTTTCTATGTGGAATTGATTATTTTATTCTAAAAAGAATTTTGGAATTTGATGCTCCCTTAAATTGAGATTTTAAATAAAATAACAAGTATGAAATGCCAAACAATTTTTTTTCTATGTGGAATTGATTATTTAATTCTAAAAAGAATTTTGGAATTTGAAGCTCCCTTAAATTGCGATTTTAAATAAAATAACAAGTATGAAATGCCAAACAATTTTTTTTCTTTATATAAAATTGATTATTTTATTCTATAAAGAATTAAATATAAATTCTATGAAGTATTACAGATTTTTTCTATTTTATGATCCACCTCTTGAAAGATTGTATGTAAAGAATGTTTGGTATTATTTTTTTAAATAAAAAATGGACACTTCATGAAAATATCATTCGGTTACTTTATCTGTGAGAACTAGGTCGGAGCTCCACTGTAAACAGAGGTGGATGACTGTATGAAATAAAATTGCCTTGTTTCATTTTATCTTGTCTAGTAATAATTAAGTTCGATGCGGTATGCGGTGGAGAAAAGAAGAGAGAGGGATGCTTATCAAATAGGTCGAGTGTATACTGCAAACTAGCGCAGAAATCCACACTCCCTGGAATCTTCTTTATTCTTTGACCATACTCGTCACCTGGTCTCGTTCTGGAGAGTTTAGATACTTCACGTTCCACACAGTTGACTGGAAAATATAAACACAAAAAAAAACATCCACTCTTTTTTATTCCAGTCATATTGAGATTTATCCAATGACCCAGAGTGCGTTTTTTTTTACAATAACCTAGATGTTTCTTTTTTTTAATTTTTTATAATACTTCCAGTTGCCTCAATATATTGGTAGGTGTTCATTTCTGATTAATTATTGTGAATTAGTTTTAATGAATGAAAAGGTTGATTAAATTTTCTTTGACTGAAATTTTCTTCAGCCAAAAAATAATTATAGCCTTTCGTTGATAAAACTTAGGTTACTTTACGATTACGTGGACGTCTCTTTGATGAAAGACGACTCATTCCAGAATTGAATATGAGTACAGTCGTGCACTCTGAATTTGGGTTTCACGGAGAGAAGATTCGTTTTGTAAGTGTGTCATTCCAGTTCTCTAATGTATGCTAGTCGTCAACGAGTGATTAAAGGGCGAAACGAGTTTCATGAATTTTGCCACGGTTGACGAAATGCTAGTCGCTGGTTTATTCCTCCAGCGACATTATCACCTCTCACCCGAAGCTTAATCAACCGTCCAGGACGCCGAAAGATTTGAATAGTGCAAACGCGACTGATCTGTAGACGGCGTGAAGAGAACGTAAAGTGAACTTTCACCAAGTGAAACACACATAGATATACACATTGAAGAAGCAGTGGCAACAAATAGAAGCGACGCGTAATCAAGCTTGCCTTCTATAATTTCGTCTCTCTGGGCAGATTTTGCTTTCCTCAAAACACAAAACAAATAATGAAGTCGCATCTGCTCTCTAGCGAATATATGTAAATCACAGCATTCATTTTCAAAACTAACTTGATCAACTGAAAGAGTTTTTCTTTTTTTATTTCTCTTTTTATATCAAAAATAAAAATTCTTGTACAGCTTCAAGATAAAATGTTGTCGCAATTATAAAATTTGACAGTCGAAAAATAAATTAAAGATGAAATGTACTTGTTGGAAAATGTGTATATGAAATATTCCAAGCACGTTTTCTTGTAATGGCTATGAAAAAAGTTGTCTCAAAGTAGTTCTCTTCTGCTTTCAATTTACTCCAACATTCTTAAATTAAATTGCTAACAACTGCAAACTAGTTTTTGAAGTCCCTAATTCGAAACGAAAAGTATTACGAGAAACATTTATGTTCAATCGATAGGGAATTTTCTAAATTATTATTTCTCATATCCTTTTCTATTGTGCAGCTGAGAAAAAATTGAGTCACGTGAACGAAGAAAAACTTTCTAACAATTCGAATTCTATCACATCATCAGAAACATGATACTGAAAAAGAAATTAAAAAGTATCTGACGCCCATAAATTGATGCTTCTTCAATCTCAAATATTAGTCATATGAAAATTTAATAATTTAAAGCAAAGAAAATTACAAAACTAATAATTCTCTCAACATGAACAGTCAAACTAAAGTAAACACTATCAATTGCGTATGATTATGTTAAAGAGAATATTTTAGATAAATTTGCATTAGTGATTATAAGAGGAAATATTGCCGTTTAATAGTTAGTAGGCTGTGGTAGATAATGGAATCTAAAGTGTTTGCATACCACGAAAACACCACAATATGACCGTAAAGTTAATGGCAGTGTGCGGTTCAATGAAACGATGTCTACAACAATCTCCCTTGAGATTGTCATGGTCTATGTACGTAATATTTGTGCGTAAATATTATGTTTTGACCTTTCCTGATATTTTGACCAATTAAAAGAAGAAAAAAATTTCAATATATTGTTAGAAATATCAAAATATTTAAAATTGAATCAAGTAATGCGAAAAATATAAACAGAAAATATTCCACTAGAGTAAATTTACTTGAGTAAAGGTTTCTTTGAAAAGTAAACACCAAAGTGACCCATTTTCGAAAATTAAACACAAAACTCAAGTAGAAATATTGACAAAATGGCAAATGCAAAATTACGTTAACCAATATTAAAAGAAAAATTGAAAGTGATAAATTTTCTTTTTCTATTTAAATATTATAATTTAATAATGTTAATATTTGCTAAAAAATAATAATTTTTCAAATATATTTGCATGAAAAAAAAATGTCAATATTGTAAAAGTTTGAAAAAGTTTAAAATTGTACTACTGTTGAGACATTACAGCTATAGTTTAATGCATCGTGACTTTATCCGGCCGGTAATATACCTCGTTATTAATCCTTCCTTCGCTTTGCACATACTCTGCATACGTGATGTGGCGGTTGAAACTATTCCCAACCTAGCTCAAGGCAAAAACAGAGAACGCTTCGCAACTAATTCTGTTGAGTGGTGAAATCTGTGAATCGGAAGTTGTGTGGAAATGACACTTCGTTGGTTCAAGACCATTAATTCATTTCAAGTGAGTACTTGACGCTCATATTTTTCGATATGTCTTTATAAAGAGGCAATTATCATAAATATATTTTCAAAAAATATGAAAAATTAAAAAAAGAATCTTTCTCTTCTGAATGGAAAATAATTAAATGTAAAACATTATTTGGTTATGAGAAAATAAAGAAATTGTAAATAGAAAGATGTATTTACTTTATGGAAAGTACTTTTCACTTAAAAGTCTTTAAAAAAAAACATTTCAAAGACATATTAATTTTTAATACATTTAAGAGCTGAATTAATTTATAATATTCTCCTTAACTTGAAAATTTATTCATTTAAATTATTCTTTAAATATTTAAAGCTATTTAAAAAATCGATAAACGTGAGATTTGTCATCTTTCGTTCCTGAAGAAAGGAAATTTAATATTTTATCAAGTATTAATGGCAAAATGTTATAAATATCACATAAATCAAATATTCACAATGAAACGAATAGATTTGACAGTAAATTATCAAAGATTTAGACAAGTACGAATAAGACGATAAGGAGAAAGCGAAATGAGAGAGGCCATACAATTTACTGAAATAAAATATTAATGGTAGAAAACTGCAGGTTTTTCCCATGGGTAACAACACTCCCTAACCCAGTAGAAACACAAAATAATGGCAACGGGCACTGAAAAATATATGCTCTAGAATCGTAGGA